GATGAAGTGATCCCGAAGTTTGGTAGCTGAGACGTCTCCACCTCCCATTTTGAAAATTATAATGAAGATGTATGTGTTTCCACGAGGTATTAAGTGAAGATAGTGGGAAACGAGACTCAAGAGGAGCGCATTGATGGAGCTTGACCATTGCCGTCATTCGGGTTCATAGCTAACTACTTATATGGTGGTTTACTTGAAAGATACTTCTTGGTCATGGTGAAGAAGCAAAAACACAGCCGAAGACAAGATCCCTTGAGCCAGAAGCAGGGGGATTCCATGCATTGCGATCGATACTTGGCAGAATGGTCATTTCCTTTCCGTTTCTGCTGTTTTCATTCCTTGATAATGTTGAGATGATAATCCAGGTTTCATCTCACTGAACTTTCCTGAAATAGTGGCGTATGAACATCTAATGAGAAACATAATCATTCCATTTCCAGTGAGACGCCCTCGGTTAACTGGCCATCACAGGACGATCTTCAAGTATAGCACTCAGTTTGTCAAGCCAAGTCATCCATTACAGGATAGTTGACGATTCAGATGAGGGATTGAACAGTTATGCATTCGTCAGTGTCACAGGCATATTACGAACTGTTGCTGTCTCTCAACGAGAGCAGTGCCTCCAAGGCCTCAACCCCGCAAATGTAGTCTCGTACGTTGAACTCCTGTCAATCCCAAATCCCCGAATGCGGGGCGGGACCGCGGGCCGCCTCGGGGACTAATTCCTCTGAGACAAATGTCTCTCTTACTTGGTACCCATTGGGCCCAATCTTGTCCGACTATGGAGATAGGAACGCAAGGATCTAGAAACAACGCTGGCGTCCAGGTACCCGGTCAAGGACCCCGCAAACCCAGCTCAATTTTGCACAGGTTGAACGCGCGTCAACGCTATTCGCTGATTAGATTTGTGAAAGTACCCAATAAAGCTGGAGATTTAATTCAAAATAGAGGCGCAGATGAAGCTGAGACAAAGTCTGCATGCAATATGAGTACCTATTACTAAGGTACCTTCTTCAGCCGCTCAGCTAGTCGAAAACTCATTCGTAGCCCTCCTCAAAGATCAGACCATCTTTTCAAAAAATGATGGGCGCTCGTGCAAGAAATGTTCCAGTCTTAGCCTCAAAGTTAACCATGAATTTGGACAACCTTCACTGTGCTGCACGCTGCCTGGTGCCACTCCCAACTCTCAAGTTCTCAACCTCGCCGAGGACTCCGAGCCCGGCACCATGCAATCTCCACCAGACCCTGATCGTTCCATCACCCGCTGATCACACCCCGGAATCGAGTCTGTCCTAGACACAACATTCGGACGCGTTGATGTCTTGAACTTAGCGGTGCTTGCTTCGGGCGTTAGCATGCCAGATACCCCGCCCGACTGTTCGCCATGCGGGAAAGCTGAGCCAAGACATCATCTGCCGGCAAGCCAACATGGTGAGACTGATTCAACTCCTTCTGGATCCGGTCTACAGGGATGAAGAATACGACATTGCTGGCGACACCGAGCAGCCATTGCCCCGGGAAGGTGAATTTCATGAATAATATCTCTATGATAAATCAAGCTGGGGTGGTTAGTATAAAACTTGCTGCACGGCTGTGGTTTACAGGAGGGAGACCTGGCAGATCATCAACCTCAAGCTTTTCATCTTTACTTTAATTTTCAAGAGAATATCATGGCGTCTATAGATCTTCCAGTGCCCGAATTCGGACGTGCTGTCATTGAAGACAACAGGAAGGATGGCTACTGGGTTGAGACGTTCAAGTTTGGTGAGGACGAAGTTCCAGGACTTGTTGCGTAAGAATATTCATCCCCAAAACTTCGCTTGAATCCCAATCAATACTAACTCTTCTCCAAGATCTGGACTGGCTTCCGGAGAAATCGAGTTTCTCGACAACCCAATTGCCGCCGCCAAACATGAGGCCAAAGCTAAAGGCGAGGAGTTCTATGCATCAGAGATTGACATAACTGGACGTACGTGCAAGACTATCCCACTTCATTGCAAAAGTGATGGTTCTGACATAGACAAAACAGCGTGGAAGAAATACCAAGTGGCCAAGTTCGACAGCCCAGTTGCCGTCGTGGCCGTTGACATCAACAGGAACGGGTTGACAGACATTGTGGTCTGTCACGACTACGGCCCGTTCATGCTTGAGTGTAATCCCAAGGGAGGCTGGATCTCCTGGCTTGAGAATCCCGGTCGTGAGAACTTGGGAAAAGAGCCTTGGAAACTCCGAATGATCGGTCGTTGGCCTGCGATGCATCGCATGAAGGCTGGATACTTTACGCAAAAGTAACGAGTTGCTCCTTGGGTCCTTGAAGTCACGGCTATTCACAAGGTCCAGACTCTAAGTCATTTGGCTAATATTTGGATAGATCCGTGATGGAAATTGTTGCCGCATCAGTTGTTTGGGGGCCGCACGACAAGGTTCGTCTGACGTCGCTGTGGTACAGTGTTCTGTCATTAATTCTAACCACTACCTACAGATTACCCCTATCCCCATTATTCGTTTCCAGGCTCCCGAGGACGTCCTCAATGCGTGAGTAAACTGCTTTGACCCAAGCTGATAATTTACTGACAGTTGTCAGCACTGAGTGGCAACGCTCAATCGTTGATGATGAAAACTTCACCGTTATTCATGAGTTGACGGTCAAGAAGTAGGTCAAGCCTTCCCACCCGCACGCTCCAGGGACTAACACAAGTTAGATTCAATGGACCTACTGGGCTCGATTCTATCATGGTATCATCCCGCGAAGGTGCCAATTGGCTTTACTACGAAGAGGGCTCGTGGAAGCGACAGCTCCTCTCGAGCGGAGAGCCGAAAGAGGACCGACAACAGCCCAACTCTCTGTCGCCGGGATCTGGTGACCATTGGGGCACTGGCTGCGCCGACGCTGGTAAGATCGGCGATGATCCCTTTGCTTACATTGCGACCTTGGACCCCTTCCACGGTACAACCGCCTGTGTCTTGTCCAAGGTTGGTCGTGGCATGAAAGATACGCAGTGGAGACGCCACATCCTGGATATCTATGGCACACCCAACCAGCTCATGAAATATGGCGACGGCCCCGGCCACTACATCGTTTGTGCTGATTTCGACGGTATGTTTATGGTAGTCGCAGATGGCCTTAGATAGCTGGCTGACCCAAGGTTTTCTACATGTAGGCGATGGCGATGATGAGTTCCTCCTGGCTTTGTTCGGCTCCTTGGACCGCGACAAAGACATGGAGTCTATTGTCGTAAGTCTGAATGAGGTCGTGTATCTAAGACGAGACTTTGTTTGCTGACGTTCAACATCAAAGCCGACAAAAGGGCCCAACCCGAATAAGGTGAGTAGAAGGGCAACACTTATCCACTTGAGTATTTCAGGAACTCACATTCCATAGGGCATCATGTACTACAAGGCAATCGATGTCGAAAAGGGATTGTTTGCCAAGTGGAAGATTGCAGAAGAATCGTCCGCTCGCATCGCAATTGGGTAAGTCGTTGGGGCTGTGTTCGGACTGATTGGGACGACACTGACACCACGCGTTCGCAGCAACTTCACCGGCACTGATAGGCTTGACTTGATCTCAGTGGAGTATAACGTTCCTCGGTACTACGAGGAGCCCAAGCCTGTCATTACTCTCCACGTCAACAAGTTTGCCAAGCCCAAGCCCGCTGTGACCGAGCGTCACATCGTACCCACAGTGTGGGATAACGAAGGCTTGGTGTATCTGGCTCGACCTAAGGAGGTCAAGAGTCAACAGTCTTTCCCTCTCATCGAGGTTGCAAACTACGCAATTAGTATCGAGATTCACCCACTTGGAGCAAAGATTCCCGTGGGCAAGAAGGATGGCATCAAGGTCCTCTATGGCTCCGTCGCTGATATCGAGGGCACGCGTACGGCCCTTGGCTTGCCTCCATTCCCCCGGATCGCACCCGTATCTAGCGAGGACAAGGAGCTCAGTGCCGACAAAGAGAAGGGGGCCATAATTTTGAGAATCGTCTCCCTCGGCGAGCCTGGCGTGTGGGAGAAGGCCGGGGAAGTCCCAGTCAAGACAACTTTCAACACCAAAGAACTCGGCTTGGAGTTCCCTGACCTCAAGTTCACCAAGGTCGAGGATTTGTGGTGGGGTGATAACTTCAAGGGGGTCGACTTCACCAACATGTCTGGTTTCCACTTCCGATTCCAGGACGACAAGTCACAGATTGCACACTTGCAGTTCTGGACCGCCGGTGAGTCATTTGTGGTTTTGGTAGCAAAAGCTGTCCCCGATCGCTTCGCTTACCGTACTCTTCACAGGACACAATGTCAACTGTGGCGTTCACAACCACGGTAACGACATCTTCCAGGAGATCCACATCTGTCTCTCTCCTGGAACTGAGACCGGAGGCATGTGGAGGCTCAAGGAAGGCAAAGAGCCCGAGTCTGCGGGGCCGGATGATTTCGATAAGGTCCCGCTTCCCCGTCTCAATGAGCACGGAGGTCTGTGGTACCGCGACTCGTACGGCGATGCCGTTCGTGGACACAACAATGTTGTCTCTTACCCGTGGCACAAGTGGCAGGGAGGGAAGGGCAAGAACGTCGATGTCTGGTTGGCACTGGAGTTTAACCCTGACTTGGCTCAGTAATAGGTTGTAGTGTGATACAGACGTGCAAGATTGGCTGATCTGACTGATGTTGCCAGCCACTCAATAATCAGTCAGTTCCCTCAATTTCAGTAGTTCCTGTTTTCTATTTTCAGTAAGTCAACAGAATGAGACTCCTATGCATGAATAAAAGGAAATACTGCCGCTTTTACGATTGACAATCGTAGCGTTCACTCCTCGTAGTACCCTTTGGTGACAACATGCTGTTTCCTGATGTACCTACAGACTGTTACCCGCTTTAGGTTTCAAACACAAAATCCACTGTCCGGAATTAGCGGGAATTTTTCGATGCAAAAGATGGGAAGTTTCGCTAAGCGTTGGGATCACAGGTTGGTGACACTAGGAGCCCAAAACTCCGTGACTAGAACTCCGAGCACGAAACTTTTACTGAGACCTCCCGTCTTTATTGTTACTAATTACACGTATCAACCCTGTAGAGCAACGTTGACCAAGGGTACCAAAACTCCAAGCGGGGTCCAATCATCCTATTAATGACCCGCCGACGCCTGCCGTGGTCCATGCTAACATCGCCGTCCATGACTCAACCCCGAATTAAATTCCCATTTCCTACGCCGTGTCTTCGTTCTGGACACTTCCGGTGCTCTTCATCCAGGCTTCACCTGATTCGCTTCCGATGCCCTTGAGCCAAGCACCAAGAACGTTGCGGCGGATCTTGTGCGACTCATTGTTGAGCAACAGGACTCGAACCTTGTTGCCGGGGCCTCGGCGAAGTCGGCTAACCTCATCAACCTTCGGGAATTCCTTCATTTCCGTGTACTCAAAGATGGCCAATGACCTGTAGTCGCCGAGAATGGCGTAGGGAGCATCTTCCTTGACGACATAGTTCGTCAGCTGATGAAGAGTGGTCGCGACATCTTGCGTGAAGGGGTTGGCATATTTTCGGCCCAACGTGTTGACGATCTCACGATTCTGAGGTGTCATGACGCTTCGGACGCCACTGTGTAGGCCAATGAAATCCGGAACCGTTCCCTGATTGTTGGCCATGACGATTCTATCCGACAGTTCGCGCGCTTTCTTTCTGTTCTCGGCCTCCACAGCCGTCCATCTATCGAAGCTCATATCGCACTCTCTCGCGAGCTGATCCACAACGACCAAGCCGATGTCCTTATACTCTTGGACGAGAGTGGACTGAACAGGTTCTTTGCCAGGAGCGGTCAAGGTGCACTTGGCTTTCCAGTCGGGAATGGTAATGACTGATGCTGGCTCGAATGGCTCGCGATTGTGGATCTCGATCTTTTTCCAAGCCTGGGTAGTGCTGTCGATTTCCAACGTTCCCGGTGCATGGCCTCCAACAATGATCAGCCCGACCTCTCGGTTGATGGATTGCTCGATTGACCTCGCAACATCGGACTCGTTGCGGTGGTATAGGATAGTAGGGTCGGGATGTGAGAGGTTGACGCCGTTAAGCCGACTGAAGTCTGCATTGTCAAGAAACCGGTCTGCAACTTGCGTGTAGTAGTCAGAGACAACGGTTCGCTGCAGGACACTTGGGAGGTCCACCCGGTGAGCTGAAGTGCTTGCATCATGCAGGGTTTTATCCCTGACGCCCCCTCCGATCGGGATATGCGGCAGGGGGGTGTCGTTGCGAATCGCGGTGACGATTGGTGGTTTCGCCTGTTGGTATGACATTGTCGCGTGTCTCCAGACGAATATTGGTGGTCTGACTTGTTGATGGGTTAGCCAAAGGTACAACGATATTTGATAATGTAGGGTTGGGCAGATTTTGGTGCCTACTTCGCGAGATCTTCTTGCCTGCTTGAGTCTCAGCAGACCGACGGGATACTTGGGATACAACGGTTGGCGCTGGCCACTGAGAATATCGCGTGTCTGCAGACAGGAATCGGTGGTCTGACTTCTTCTTGATGGGTTAGCTAAGGATGAAGTAGTATTATTCAACGTAGGTTTAAGTAGATCGTGGTACCTGCTTGGCAGAATGTTCTATTCTGTCTGAACGCCTGCCGTTACAACGTAGGCGAGAAGTGAGATGGTGGGAGGGCAACGCTCGAAGTCAAGGTGGGAAAAAGTAAGTTGGTGCCTATCCACCCCTTCAAGATCAAGGGCTCATGTATTATTCAGTTAGGGCTACTGCCTATTCACCCGGAAATTCTTTTGTGATGGCATCAACCACCTCCTTTGAGAGCTATCGCGTGTCACGTAACCCGAAGAGTATTGCTGCTCAACCTTAATAACACAAAGAGAACAACATACTATCTTACGTAGCAGGTAGTCCGGCAATGGAACATAGGTACTTAGCCTGCTCTTAAGCAGTATCAAAATTGACGACGACCCAAACCTAGCCAATTCCTCGTTGTGAGTCGAGGCTGTCAACTCCATTTCCGGGGTTGAAGTTGACTGGCAGATCACTCTGACCTTGACCGGGTCGTGCCCAGATGGATGGATATTAGGTAGTGGAGATGGGACGGCAGGTACGCAGCCACGGTTAGGGGATGGTGCCTTCCGATTTCTATCTCACTGTACATTTTAGGGTAGATGTGATGTGATTGGTCTTAAACCCCCCCCCCAGATAAGTGGGTTTCTCGCTTAACCCACTTCCTAAGGTAAGGTGGGGAGTAAGGTACCCACGTACCCTAACTCACCTAACCCTGCTACCTACCGTGCCTGCCTGCTGCCGTCGGTGGGTCCTATCAGACCCTCCTCGAAGGCCCTGGGGTTTTACCTTTGTGTCCTACCTTACCTCACCTTACCCTTCTTTGTCTTCTTCATCGTAGGTACCGAACAAGGTAATCTCAAGCTACCTTGAGTTACGTTGGCGCCTTTCAATTTCCACTTCGCCCACCTCAACTTCTCAAGGTAATTCATCCTTGCCTTAAATAAGGCTCCTTCCTTCGTCTACATCTTCGCCCAACTTTCCATTGCAGACTTGGGACTCCCGTTGAAGTGAGCTTTATGATTGCGAACGCGCCGCTTTCTACCCTCAGATTCAACGCGTAAGTCCAGTCTCCTCCAGCTCAAACCAAAAACAGACTAACCAGTAGTAGCAGGAATCAGTCTTCGTAACGACATCGCCATGGCTTCTCCCTCCCCCGAGGAGACGGCAGCCACACGTCTCGGCGAGGATGGAGCCATTCTGCTCGACCATCAGTGGATTTACTCCCCAGGCCGGCGACTTCACCTCCAGCAGCACAAGCCTCTGCCTCCCTACGGCTCTCACTTGTATCCGATTCCTCAAACATTAAGCTCTCAAGACATGATGCTCTCCAACGACGAGAAGAATTATTCGCTGAGACGACTCGTTTTCGACCCTCGCAATGCGCCAAAGACCCACAGCATGAACAATCAAAACGATCCTAGTTCCCTCATTGAGGTCGAGATTGTTCGCATGATTGGCGGCAGCCCAGGTGCTGGATACCAACCTGGCCCTCAAAAGATCCTCTGCAAAGTCGTCGTCTCGCCATCGACCCTACCGAATAAGCAAGAGCATGATATCCCGTTCGAGGGACAACTGCTCTTCCTGAAGATTTTCGATGCCTTGTTCTGGCACAAGGCCACTGACATCACCAAGCGCGCAATCAAACTCACAATCCAGGCTGACGGAGCATTCAGCGACGAGTTTGGTGCATACGACCACCTCTACAAGAAGAAGCTCACTGGCTTTCCTAACGTCGCTCCACAATTCTACGGAGGATGGACCACTGCGGTCAAGACGCTTCATCCATCATTCGCCAACCAGACCCGGAATGTTGCGGTGCTCGCCACCGAGTTCATCGAAGGCACTTGTCTCGATCAGCTGTTCACTGTGGCAGGACCCAATGCAGAGGTAGTGAATCTCTACGGGGACGCCAAGCCACCAGGCGCTTTCACCACTAACCGCGATGACAGAATGAAAATCATCAAGCAGCTCATGGACGGCACGATTTCGCAAGAACACATCGGGCTGGACCATTGCGAGGTCTATCCAGAGAATGTAATCATCTCCATGCGAAACAAGGGGGAATCGCTTGAGGAACCTTGGGCCGTCCTCGTTGGATACGGACGGGCACTCGTCGACCATGTACGAACAAGGCCTGCTAAAATGTGGGAGCACTTTCCGCTGAAGCACCATCCGATTCTTCGATGCGGCTGGCCTAGATGGAAGTTCTTTGCAGGATGGATTCCAGCCGCTTGGGCAAGCCCACCGGGAAAGGCCGACGATGTGCCTTTGCTCAACCAATGGGTGGTTCTAACATTCGGTCGTCTGGATGTTAACGAGATATATACGATATTTCCAACCATGCCGACAAGCCCCCAGCCTGAGGGACTCTCCACCAGCCCCGAGCCCGAGAGACAGTCTGTCAGCGCCGTGCCCCAGGGACAGCCTTAGAGCGGCAGTCTCTCGGAAACAGTTGCTCCGACTGAAACAGACACCGACACTCTTGTCTCTACGTCTCCAAAGGAGGCGGCTAATATCGAGGACCTTTCCGGCCTGCGTGACAAAGGCGATATGGCCCCGCCCTCTGACGACTTGCCACAGTCGCCACTATTGACTGGACGTTCGGGCGAGAGTGCCCCTCCCGATGAGCTACTAGGTCTGGCTGACCAGTTCAAGGGTCTGTCATCGAAGGCTCGTTCGGAAGAAAACCAAGCCAGAGACCCCCGTCAACATGAGACTGAGGACCTGATATTGGAGGATCATTCGGACAACGACCAATCCAGACAGCCCAAAGGCCCCCGTCAAGATGAGACCGACCCTCGCAGCATCTTGAACACCGGCTCGAGCGTGCACGACATGGTCCAAAGATCTCAGAGACACTCTCCCGAGCCAACCGAGGACCGAAGCGAGAACCGGAGCGAGGCCTCGAGTGAACAGTAAGAGTTGACGGTTCCGAGGATCAGGTTCTACTTTTCGGCAGGGAGCGTCAATGAAGAGCGCACTTGGTCATGATAGTGGCGTCCGATTCACAAAGCTACGTGTTGTTATACAAGGACACAGAGAATCGTGGGGGCAGTGCAATTTGGTATCCGGAATTCAGGACAAGGATGTTGGCGTGCGAGATGGATGGATCCTGCTTGGACTTTTGGCACCTTTGGTCAACGTTGCTCTACAAGGTTAATACGTGTAATTATTAACAATAAAGACGGGAGGTCTCAGTAAACGCCAGTGGAGCATTACCGTAGCGTAAGGTGTGAGTGAATTGCAGCATTCCGTGCCCAACCACGACAGACTGCGTGTATGGAGGCGTGTAGTATGAACTCCCGCCTTGCCGCAGCCCAGGTTCCGAATCGACTTTAAGCTAGGTGGACATCGCTTCAGCTCACAGTCTTAATTTGGGCTCTATCTTGGACACACGTCTTGAACATGCGCACTTCGCGTTGCGCGTTTGGTGGAGCTCAGGACCTTTGCGCCGGCAGACGAGCTGTTATGTGTTACAAGATAACTCAAGGGGTATTATTATCTGCACTATCAAAACTATAAATTCGACGAGATTGGTATTTAGGCGAGGGAAGCACAGGTGAAGGGGCTGCTGATCTTTCCAGTCTTGAACTTGAGGTCCTATTCATCATGATTAACATCGTGTTACACATTTGAGTGGGTATATGCAGGGAAACTCACAATCTCAACAATACTGGCGTAAGTACCGCAGACCAGGACGACAATGCCGATGATGAAGGCAAGACCGTTGAGCGCAGTCTTCATGAGGTTCTCCTTGGCAAAGACGGAACCCTCGCGCATGAGCATGAACCACATCAGGGCAGGGAAGTAGAAGGTGAAGCCGGAGATGAAGAGCGAGGAGCTGATGGACAGAAGCTCAGAGAAGAAGGGGATGGCTTCGGCGATGATGAAGGCGATGACGGTGATGACGGTAATGAGACCGAGCCAGGTGATCCAGCCCATCTTGGTGTTGATGAAGCGGATGATGGAGTCCTTGTAGACACGACCGTGGATGTAGCGGCCAACAACGGTGGTGTTGATGGATCCCGAGATGAAGATGACGGGCAGGGCAACGCCGAACGCAATCTTGGAGATGGTGTTCCCGGCGGAAAGCAGGGCAGGGGACTGCACATCCTGGCCGACAAAGGCGTAGATCAGGGCGCCAGTGACGGTGTAGATGAAGATCTCGATAAGACCAAGGGCCCAGATGGACTTCTTGTAGTCGGACGGGGTGTGCATTTCGTCCATGAAGGAGAACTGGCAAATGGCAAAGCTGTAGGCGAAGACAATGTTGGTGATGGCGATGAAGGCCTCGGCGAACGTAATGCCCTCCTTGGGCCAGGCGGACCAGGGAGCGGTAGTGATCTCGCCCCTGTTAATACCGGTGGCGATGATGGTGATACCGATGGCGAGAATGATGGAGACGAAATCAATGTATCCCAAGATTGCGACTTCAGCAAACGAAGGGGGGATGGCAAGGATCAGCAGGATAATGGCGGACACGACGGCAAAGACAATGGAGCACGCGCCGTCGTTGGTGATGTTGCCAAAAGCAATGGCGCCGGTGAGAGTGTGGGAGCTGACCAGGAATGTCAACTGAAGCGCGAACATGGCACCGATGATTTCGTAGCCCCAGCGGCCGAACATGAGCTGACCGGCGTCGGCGTAGTGCGAGACGTGAGGGAACTTGATCTTGACCTGACCGACGACGTCACTGGTGTATATCGCCACGAGACCCAAACCCACACACAGAATAACCCCGGCAACCATACCGAGGGAGGCGAAGGCGGCGGGAAGGGACAGACTGCCCAGGGCAATGGCCTCGACGATGAGGACGACCGTGAGACGCTTCCAGCCGAGGCGGTGGAAGTGGGCGCTGCCCTCGGCGGCCTTTTGCTTCTCGAGGTCCTGGCGGTTGAGGTCGGTGACCTCGCCGACTACTTCGCCGGGGAAGACGGCATCGCGGGAAAATTGGGGGGCAACGGCGGCGCCATCGGAGGACTTGGTGTCCTTGTTCTCGGCGGCATGAGCCTGCTGTTGTCTAATCTGGTCGTGATCCATGATGGGCTTTGTGTGTATACTGTTGGAGAGAGTGTGTGTCTTTTTTGCTCTCTAGCCCAAGTTTTGTGTGTGGCGTGGGGCCCGAGCGGAGGAGGAGGAGGAGGAGGAGGAGGAGGAGAAGCTTTGACGGGGTGATGTCAAAGGCGAGGTGGTGGTGTTGGAGTTGATGGCGTTGTATGAGACAAACATACACGGACGCACAATGGGACGGACCAGGTTGAACAGGTCTGACTTCGGTTGAAGAAAGAGAGAAGGGAGAGAGAGATGAAGAGTCAAAAGCCGGTTGGACTGAAAGAGAGGAACAACAACAAGAAGATGGGAAGACGGAGGCAGGATATATGGTGGCAAAGGGCGGAGCATCAGCACCGACCCCGGAGTCAGGCCGAGGGCTCGACCTCGTCGAGTTGAAAGCAATTCACCTTGACTGAGGCCCGGAACCTACGTTGATTGGACCGGGGTTCTTATCTTTTGGCCCCCCCGCGATCGTGGGCGGTGACACCGGCACCTGGGAATGGAATGGAATGGGATGGGGATGGGTAGATGGACTTACCACGGCCGAGGGACCAGAGTGGGCGAGTGGGCGGCAAGAGTTCGTCAGCCAGATTACCTAGATGGCTGACATACGGATACTCAAGTCCCACGGAAAGCTCTGCTATTCGACGATTCCTACTCCGTACAAGAATCATCAACCCAGTCCCCCTTGCTTGGGACCGGATTCCGTGCGTTTGTGAAATTGCGGGGGAATAAACCGTTGCAGACTTTCCCCGCGAAATCGACCAGCGTCCCTGAGATTCCAGAATTGACACATTGACCTTTGCGTGCCGCCGCGTGCTGCTTCCCCGAGTTTCCCAGTGAACAATTGTATTTCTCGTTGTCAAGAAAACCAGGACCGCGTGCCAGCAAGTTGAGGGTTGCTGACGGGGTTACTCTGTACGCGGTCGTGTAAATGCGGGACTGAGGCAATTGGTAGAGTTTTTGCATCGTAATAGGGTGGATATTGTGACCTATTCCTTACCTAAAGGACCCAGAAGCAGAGCCGCAGAGTGGCCTCATCTCGCCCCCCTTGAGTCAGTCCATGGTGCTGTTCCCACGGGCGACCCCGAAATACGACCGGGTGGCGCGCTGGGAAGAGGCCTGACGTGACTGGGATTCCAAAAGAGATAGTCTGAGCTCCTGGAGAGGGAAACGTACGGAAGAGAGAAAACTTTGCCTTATCTAGAGTTGCTGAAACTCGAGCGAGGAAAAGAGCGTCATAGGTGACCTTGGACATTGGACGTTGGGCCAAGAGCATGAGGCTCAAAAATTTTCAGACGAAAACGAACAAGAGCCAAAGCCAAGAGTGACGATTGCCGAACAAGGGGGGGCCTGAGCCCGTCCGTGGGAAAAGACTCCCATAGGTTCTCTCTCTGTCTCTCGGGTCTCTCCCACCCTTCTACCCCTCTACCCGTCCCCCTCCTCCTCTTCGAGTTTCCTTCCCGCGCTGCCGTAGGCGATTTCTGCAAGTCTTGGGTGTCTTGCCTCGATGCGCTAAACCAGCCGTGGGTTGCAAAGCCGCTTACCCGCAGAGGGCCGCAAAGTTAGACGTAATAGCGCCGCCGCGGTCCCGTACATTCCCGACATCCTTGAGTCGTATCCATGTCGATCCCACTCACACCTGTCGCGCATTGGGAAGGCTTCTAGAAGATCGACTCGAAGGCCCCAAAAGGCTTGTCGACGCCTCCTACGCACTTCCCTGCAGATGTGGCCACACAAAGCGCACAAAGGGCTGATCCCCCCTGCATATGTCTGTCTTCCCCCGTCCACAGTCCAGGGCCGCCTGTTGAGCGAGGCGAGCAAGGCGAGATCTTACGCGACGCGGGTTTTTGAAAGCGAGCATCCATGCCGGACAGACTTCTCTCGTGCGTGAACGGAATCCATACGGACCCTGTTTTTTCTGCGTCTTCTTTTTTGTGCCAGTTCTTTGGACGAATCCTGACTGGTCAGGGGGGGGGTTTCTACTCAATAATTTGACATACAACCATTACCAACCGCAGAGATAACAGTTTCGGGGGCTGGCGTGCTTTTGGGGGTGATGAGAAAGGAGGTTGCATTTACGCCGAGTTCTCGCCCGACATTAACAGGACACACCCGCGGCAAAGCGAAACTGGTTTCATAGACATTGGGCGGCAAGAATGAAAGAGTGACGAGAAAACGCAACACGTCGATGAACAAGACTAAACAAGGCAAACAAGGCCATGGATGACAACTATGCATCAGCAGGTTGTATTAGCGTCTAGTTGAGGGTGATAAACTAGCTGATCTACCGCGTTTGGCGGATCCGAAGGTTCGAACTTGCGTCAAACGACTCGGCTGTCGTGCCGCGAGAACCGAGCCACACAATTTTGGCGTGCGAGATCTTCGTACGAGTGAGCAACTGGAAGCGGTTTGCGACGGGCTTTTGCTCGCTCCTCGTTACGGATACTGGGGGGCAGCCAGCACGAGCAGGGGTAAGGGATATGGACTGAACGAACCTGTTGGCAATTCCGATTGTGTCATTGAATCCGGGGTAAGAATTGCGGGGATGGAGCCGGCTTGCGTTTGTAATTTGTTAAAGGGCGCGCGCTGTTGGTATGGCGGGCACCCTCGAAATTATCGTCGCACTCTGATTTGAATCGGTCTGGTCGTTCCTGGAGATGACATTCTCCAAACCCTGAGTCGTGCCATTCTTTTTCTTTGCCATGCTGCCATGTTATCATGATGTTCCCAGTCCTTGGTCCCTTTCGGTTTCAGCCGGACGAACGCATCAACGGCCGAGATTGCCGCAACTCGGGCCATCCCAACCGCTGACCACTCCGAGAAGCGGACGATATCGCAAGCTGGAGTCCCCGATCCATGCATCCCTCACGCGGTGAACGCTCCGGCCACACACGGGGAACCCGCGAGCAGCAACTGAGCCAATCCCATGTCCGTTATTTGACGTTGTGGGAACACCAAGTGGTTTGCTGCATCCGTGCATTCTAATTTCTACATGACACCAACACCACCACTACCGCCTTGGGCGCGCTCCCACGATGTCCACACTTCATCCAAGGCTGGTAAGCAGTGCTTGTCCCGCCAGAGGAACCCAGAAAGGAGCTGCTGCAGGTTCTCGCGCCTGCATCGTTCCGGCGGCAAAATACCCCTGGCTCGTTCCAGCAAGCTGCTTAGTCTCGAGGAGAACCACTCGCGGTCTTCGGTTGTTCCGGACCCGACGATGCCCACGAAGAGAACCCACAACAGGACGGTATCGTGAGACACCCATATGAGTGCGATGGAATCCGCGTCGTCAAGCGCGTCGCGCATCCTACTGACGAGAACCCGAACCATGTGTCCTGTCGTCGGAATCTCCCGCAAGACGGTGTAGAGGAACACATGGGCCGCTGAGACCAGAACCAGGAACCGCTTCTGTACTGGTGTCGCCGTCCGGCGCTCCACGTACAGAAAGTGCAGAATCGTGCTATCGGCCGTGTTCATAACGATCCTGATGTCGTCTGCGGACACGGACACCGCACCACCTGCCTGCGAGAGAATCGCCTGCCTCAGCGCTACAAAGATCCTGAGCGGCTCGTCGCTCTCGTCGGGATTGTGGCCGCCGAGCTTCTCCAGGTGCCGCAGGGAAGGCGTCCTTGCGCGATTCACGACCGACGGCGGGAGAGACACCTGCGCGAGAGTGTGGAACATGGGGAACTTTGGCACCCTTCCGAGGCCCGAGGCTACTTGTATGTCAATCCTGTGGGAGTTTGGTCAGTTGGCGTTCATTGCGGAGTGGAATTGAGGAGGCCAAGTCACACCAATTGATGCAGCGGCATAGGATGTAGTCGTGTTTGATCGTCTCTGGTCCGCCTCGAGCTTCAATCATGGCGTGAAGCCCCGTCAAGTGAACGTTGGCCGCTGAAAAGTGACCTTGAAAGGCCTACCAACATGTGTGTAAGAAGTTGAGCATCGAAGCGTGGTGGTGGTACATGAGGCCAGGAAATCACCTACTTCAACGCTTCCCAACATGGCCACGCCGGCAAGAACAGAGAGGTCGTTGCTCGCACTACGCGCCGATTCTTGAGAGGCTAGACGATCTCTGATCATCCGCATCGCTTCCCCCTTTTGCTGGTACCCTTCGCGCTGGAGCTTGAAGTCAAGAAGAGGCATGGTGGCGGTCAGGAACTCTGCTGCCAAGGCCAGCGTAACGCGCATGATGAGAGCGCTCTGCATAGCATAAGGAAACCATGGTCTCTGAGTATCGATCGTAGTGGAGTTCAGATTGAACCTGGTGGTGACTGGAGAGTTAGCTCAGATGCACAGCGGCACGGCGTGGTGGCGTAAGGCTCGTGAGCGGCAGAAGGTTCGAGTCTTACAATATTTTACCAGAGAATCTACGCAAGGACTACTTGGAATAGGCAGCGTGTTGAAGGGGTCAGCGCTATCGCTCCCCAGCCTCTGAACCCATGGTGGCAGCGATGCGTGGTGCAGAAACTCAGCAACGTCGGATGGAGACTATGGAAGTGTGAGTGACGGTGGCTTGAGCCTGCAGGGAAATGGGACAAGTAGTATACATGAGAACGGTGACTTGGCTGCAAATGTTCTTGTTCTTCATTTTGATCTTGTGGGCTCTTGGATTTGGTCGACTTGGACGTTGTCCCTGCCAACCTGAACCGTCCCTTCAATTGGGCCTTCTGCTTGATGGTGTCCTGTGAAATCGAGGCCGTTGAGGTTCGCAGCTCGGAACGGCCCCTTTGGATGGCAGTCCGGATAGCATGGCTCCTCGTCGACTTGCTCGCAGTCTGAAAACTCCCTTCAGTGGCATCGACGGTGATGAACTTGAAATCAGATTTGGGGCCCATGTCAAGGGAAATTTAACCGGCCGAGGGGCTTCTTTGAGGCTGAGAGGCTCGGTCTGATCTCTAGCGCCTCACGCCAGCACTGTCCACATCTCCTATGCTCAGTAATCGTTATGCTGCCAAGATCAATCGAAAGGCTTCGAATCTGTCAACCCCTGGACTTGAGCTCAGTAGCTGTCCGACGAGCAACAAAGGTGGAGGACGGTACACTACCCCTCGCTGCAAGTCAACACCAACAAGCCTAATTGGTTAGGGCTCACTGGACTTGGCTAAAGTTGGTAAAGAAAGTTGATCTGAACGCCGTGAAGGATGCTGGGAGTTAGTCATCAGCCAGGCTAAATAGCCCCAAGTTCTTTGCAAAGAATCGCGAGTTGAGGGAAGGTGCTGAGCAGCTGAGGGGCAGAAGGAGGAGGGGGCAGATTGGCGGACTGAGGTACGTACCGAGGTCTAGATCGATCCCAAGAGGACGTTTACCTGATTGGATCTAGCGTGGATCTACAGCCAATGGGTGCTGTGTATCTCCACAGGTGTGGATCACTCTGCATTCGTAACACGAAATTCGTCAGACTCACGTGACACGGGCAACGTTCATCCGATGTCGATACGTGCCTGTCTCACTTTCAGGTATGACGCTCGTCCGTTTTCGGCCTCCGAGCGGACGAAGCGGACGAAAGATCCGTAAGCACCCACAACATCAACAACAACAACATCAATGAGATGGGCAGCAAACCGGGACTGCCCACAGCAGTCGATCTCAGCTTCCCAAACGAAAACACGCCTTTGTTATTACCTTTTCTCTTTGCTCAGGTAATTCTAGTCTCTTGAATCAAATTTTTAGTTGTGGTTCATTTGGGTCTATGTAAAGGCCAGCATTCGTCCGCAAGTCGTCTGGTTTGACTAGGGCATCAACAACTTCCGAAAACATGGACGAACGACCGACAAAGAAACGTAAAGTCCGAAAAGGAACGCGAAGTTGCTGGCAATGTAAGTTCGTCCGTGAATGTGCTCCGGCTCCCCGAGCGAGGTCCAGCTCTGCCAAATTTCCCGATTCAATTGCTTTCGGATTCACTAACACCCCGTTCAGGCAGGAAGAGAAAGATCCGCTGCGAGTTTTCCTCCAACGAAGAACAAACCTGCAACGGCTGCCAGGCTCGCGGTGCCGCCTGCGTCAGCCAGGAGTTCACCGACGATGAGCCGTCCGGCCCGCCCGAGCGCGGCCTTGCCCAGCGTCTCGGTCGGTTGGAAGAGTTGATGGTGAAGCTTGCCGACAAAATGGGCCCCGAGCCCTCTTCGGTCAACAGATCGAACCCGCCAACGCCGTCGGTCGAAGGCTCCCTTCGTGTTTCGGAATCACAAGTCACCCCGGAGGACTCGTCCTGGCAGTCCGCGAGTGCGACTACTGCCGTCTCTGGGCCCATCTCCGGCCGCCCCCCATCACAACCCGCAACGAATCGGCCTGCGGCGGAGCGTCCTCGTGGTGGCAGCAAGTACGACAAGATATGCCGCGATATCCACTCCATGTTCCCATCCCTCCAAGATGCCCAAACTATCGTTCAGTCGAGTAGGGGCCCAATCTTCGTATTGATCATCTTCTACTCGTACCAAGATATACTTGAGGGCAAATCTCAACCGACTTCTTCCCTCACTGCAATGCCAGATATCTCCAAGCATCCGGCTATTTTGGCGAAGCATTTACTTCAATTAACAATCTGTCTACAGCAGATGCCACCGTGCTTCGATGTCTCTCAACTCGAGGCCTGTCTCAAGTGCTCGATCCAGGAAAAAATGGCAGAGTGGATCGCCGCCGCCAGCGTGGTCACTTCCAACGACGAGTTGGTAGGTTCCGCAGAGGGGTTGGAGTGCCTCATTCTTGAAGGGTTCTACCTCGTCAACTCTGGCAACCTCCGCAAGGCATGGCTTGCCATGAGAAGGGCCCTTAGCCTGGCCCAACTAATGGGCATCGAGCGTGACGGCTCGCGGCCGTTGAAGTCGTGTGATCCCGCGACCGACCCTTCTACGATGCCGTCTTCTCACTCGCTGTGGTCCCGTATCAATTCTTGCGATCGATACTTATCACTGCTTCTCGGCCTCTCCGCCGGCACGCAGGACAATAGCTTCATGTCGGAAACCTTTCTGGCCCGTGACACGCCGATGGAGAAACTGGAAAAGAGGTACACCGCCATCTCGCTCCGAATCATCGAGAGAAATCGCACTGCCGCGACAGAAGCATTTGCCATCACTCAATCTGTAGATTGTGAGCTCGAGCACGCGGCAAAGTCCATGGGACGTAGCTGGTGGGAGATCCCGCCAGTGCCCGACTACACCGACACAACTGGCCAGATGAGCATCATGTCGCATCTGATGCTCCAGATCCACCACCACAGCTTGCTCATCTTGTTACATCTCCCTTACATGCTTCGCAACCAGACAAATACCCGCTTCGACTACAGCAAAAACACCTGCCTGGAGTCCAGCAGGGCCGTTCTGAGACGATGCGTCATCTTCCGCACCGCCAACAACGCAGCATTCTCGTGCCGTCACATTGACTACTCATCACTCATGGCGGCCATGACACTTCTCCTCGGTCACCTCAGCCGCCCTCCCGGTATTCGCGAAGAGGATTGGTCGAGGCAACGGAGCGAGGACAGGACTTTGGCTGAGACTGTACTGGCCAAGATGGAGGAACTAGCTGTGTTGAACGACGACAAGTTGTCCGGCGAAAGTGCAGAGATCATCAGACAGTTGCTTCCCATTGTCGACTGCTGCAACGGGGTAACACCACGTCATTGTCCCGAATCCGAGGTGAAGAACCTCCAGTTGAGCATTCCCTATCTTGGGATTATCAACATCAAGACAACCGCAAATCAGACAGCTGAGTCACACTTGCTAGATCTTAGCCACTCGCAGCTGCCAACACCAGCAAACACCACGACTGTAGCGTCGGAATCTCTCCAGCAAGACACGCCTCCTGCAATATCATTGGAAACTCTCCTCGGACAGGACAACACTATTCCCCACGAGGACGTATGCGCTGGCTTCAGCGCCGATTACCTCGGCTGGCCATGCCCTGGCATCACGGCAGAGGCTGGGGATTGGGCGTTTCAGGGCGTTGATACAACTTATTGGTCCCTTCTGAACAGTGGCATGTCAGGCGAATTTTCTCAATGAGTAATTGAGAGGGAGCATTCAATTATCACCAAGCGTCGGAAAAGTCGTCGTTGAATCTCATTCAAATGACCGGAGCCTACTGTTTAGACACTAAGGAAGATGGGGCCGTATTACAACGGGTCTTCCATTTTCAAGAGGAGCCAACCCCCTTTCCAGTCATTCGGGTTGCCCGAATCTCAAAGCGCGCGGTCAAGGAGGTATTCAGGGCTAATATGGGACCTGGTTGTGCCTCGCGAACGTAGCCCGAGCTGGGCATCCACTGCTGGTACTGATCTCTGTCGGACTCTGCCAAGCATCACTCAGCCCTTACGCAGAGTCAAAAGTCCGCTACAAGTCGGATAATAGCATATTCTAGGCAAGAAAAGGTTCATACTACTGTTGGGTGTGATACCTCATCAAGGTCGTACGAGAAGGCACAGCACTTGACGAGAATTATCGTTTTTCCTCGGCAAGTAGGCGGGTGCCTCTCATGACTGGACTCCCTAGCCCAGACGGCTAACTAACGAAAGCGGATAGACAAGGAAGAAAACCTTCAAGGGAAAGTCCAAATGGGCACGATACATGTTTGAGGCAAATAAGCATCTTCAACGCGAGCTCCAAGGCCAAGGTAATTCCTGTAACGAAATCAGAGGACATGGAACCTGTGCCATTCGGCCGTAGCAAGTTGAGGATGCAGATGGAGACAAATCGTACTTCATTTCTCGCTTAGTCCAAGAAGGGAAACTCCACAGACACCATCCCAGTTTGCAACGAAACTTTCACCGCAGCGTTTCGACGAGACTTATGGCTCGGCGCATACGGCTTTTGGATGCGTGAACATGTTGGACATTCTCCTTACCTAAGCCCAGATGCCAAGAGGGGTCTTGGCGCAAAGTTTTCAACCTGGATGAGGCTTGCTTGCAACGCTATGTAGTCGTGTACTATATAATTCCCAGAAAGGGGGCGCCGGGGCTTAGCAATGCGACTCTACAGACTACAAACATGCTGTCTAATGGATGACTTTACCATGACCCCGGCCGGCCGGGCAGGCGTTGCTGGAGACATCCCACTCGGGCAATTCGTGCACCACTTTATTGCGTGGGCCACCAGCATGTGTGCAGCACGCCGAGCAGAAAAACCAACGCCCGGATCGAGACCCGAAAGACGCACTGATGGGGTTGCCAAGGGGTTCTGGAGCATGGGCACCTGAGACGGGCATCCATCGACGCTCATGTCCGACAGCCGCACAAGAGTCCATGACTCGTTGCTGAAGCAGAGACCAATCAACTCTCTGGTTGTATACTACATACGGGGACTTGGGGGCGCGTTGAGGGCGCATTGGGGGCATTAAATGTTCAGTTTGGTGGCCTGAACTCCCGATACAAATTAGACTTATGCTTATTTTACTGCGCAACTATACAGAGACTTACCGCACTCCAAGGAATAAGCAGAACATTGTACGAGAATCACGAGACCAACTAGCCTCCTCGGCTGGGTAGCCAGAGCTTTGGGCAAAGAAGCAGACGGCATGCTCAGTCCGTGCTTCCGCCCTTTCAGATCCACAAACCGACGTGCGTCTAATGCCAAGGAGCAAAAGTCCATCACGGCCGTCCCGAATCGGTAACTGACCCTTAGGGACGTAAAATTGCAAGACATGGGAAGCAGTCGGTCACTGTCCGGATTAGTGTTCACTCCACGGCTCTTTTCGACTATGGCGGAGATCCGGCTAGGACCCGTGAGCCATTACTGGTTAACAAATAAGGCCCATTGAGATTCTTCAGCCTCAAAAGTGGAGGGCTACGACCGGGGGGAGCCACTAGGACAAAGGGTCTCGAGGTTCTCGGTTCTCGGAATAGGCTCCTTTGGATCTCGTTGAGGCGGGCTGAGCTGACTGAGGCACTGGGGGCCATGCAAAGGTAAGGGAATGCGTGTTTTCTGGATTATTGCCAGGAGTAGGAGCATGATTAATATGAAGAGGGTAGATGAAGGGAAGTGAGGCTAGATAGGAGGGAAATTGACGAAGGATAAAATGGTCTCAGGCCGCCCTCATCATTAGCTTGTTCTTGGAAAATCTAGCCTTCATCTAGTCTCAGCTCTCTCTCTCTCTCTCTCTTTGTACCCATCCTAGTTCTCACTCTCTTTTACAACCTAAAAGCCCAGAGCTCAAGATCACCATCCAGCTTTTCTTCAAGCTTGACTGTCACAACCTTTGGAAAAAATGATCTCTTCCTCTCTTTTCACAGTGTTTGGGTTGGCAACTACCGTCTTTGCCGCACCTTCCCGCCCTCGCATGCTGGCTGCCGACGATGTTGTTCTTTTTGGCCACGACGGCACCTCCAGAATCATGAAGGCAGCAGACTACGATGCTCTTGAGACTGTCTCGCACGCACCCGCACAAACATTATCATACAATGCCACACGCACACCTGGCATCAACCGCCGCGGCTGCCAGCAGAGCACCGAGGTTCAAGTCACATCAGATGAACAGTTCCTCAACTGGGATGTTGCCATCTCTCCCATAGCTTCCTCATTGCAAGGTAGCTCCGCGGGTATCAGCGTCTCCAACGGAGTTGAAATCAGCAACTCACTCGCTATCGGTTCTGAAATCACCGTTGGGGGCTCGGACATTATTAGCGTTTCTCTGGGCATGAATCTCGACATGTCTTGGTCAACTTCCCAGGAGAACTCTCTCGAATTCGATATCCCGGTCAATATGTACGGCGTCATTGTCAGCCAGCCTTTTGTGCGTCGCGTACAGGGTAACTTATTGACGGGGTGCACGGATAATCCGACAAGGACGAGTTTCATGGCGGACACGTATGAGAGCCAGGGCTATGGCCAGTTGTCTTGGGTGAAGGGTGTCATTCGACTTTGCACAAGCGAAACTTATCCTATTCCCTACTGCATTGGCGAGGGTCAGCACAAGTGAGTTGAGTTACGGGACTAGATGTTGTATCGGTTTTGTATAGATGGGGAAAGGACCGTAAGGGGTATCTTGGGCGCAATGTGATGTATTTTCGATAGACTGTCTTATGCACTTTAGGAGTTAAACATCAGACTGTGGAGGTGTATTTTAGATCTGCAAGCCATATGTCGAAAGCTGGCAGTCCGACTAAGACCCAACTTTTTCATTGTAAGTGAACGTGAAAAAGTTCCTGCGAAGGGGTTGAGATACAATATTACTGAATGCTCTTTAGCTTTCGAAGTGCAGGAACTAGAGTACTTATGAATAAGGTAGTTCCTCTTGATGTATCACCGGTGATAACCAGCTCCCAAATAGACATGAGTGCGAGCGTCTATTTGAGAGAACAGGCTAACCTATGAGCCGCTGGATGGAGTCATTACGTTCATCTCTAGTCTTCCTCCAATTCAGCTCCAATTAAAATCATACATAGGCGGGCAAAGAAAAATGAAGGTCGAATTAATGCATGGCCTTTTATGCCCTCATAAAAGCACGTAAATTTACATCGACGCTATCTAACAATTGACGAGACAGCCCGGGCTAATACATCATGCAACACCACCACACGATTTAGAACAGTTCCTCGGATTCTAACAGTCCAAATGACCAGCTCCTACTTTACATCTTTCCTATCGTGGCTTGCTCTGGAATAGAATATATTGTCTTCTCTTGGTGTCAATCAGTAAAGCAAGAGTCGAGACTTGAACTTTGAACTTAGCCACACATGCCATCAGCGGCCAGCCATTGGGCGACAACTGAGCTACTTTCTAAAAGCATTGAAGTCTCAAATAACATGTCTCTATGCAGTTAGTCCTTGACGCTCGCCATTCAACTTTACATCGAGAAGCATTCTCTCAAGAGTCGTCATTACTAAAAATTAATTCCAGAAGGTTTCAAGTTGCTCGAAGTGAATGTTACATCTCACATGTCGGCATCGTTGGATAATGCCTCGGGGCGCGAGAGGGACCTACTTCAAATTTTTTAAATTTTTTTTGGCAATTATAGGATGAAACAGGTCAATTTCTTTCTTTCTTTAGTCACTATTAGGTCGAGTCTGAGCAACGACCCTGTGGTCTACAATAGGTACATGTAGAGAGATTGATAAGATGAATTTCATAACAGATTAGTCTTAACCAGACTTGGTTTAGCATGGTGGCTCTATTGCAACGCAACCTAAACGGAAAACCAGACACTTGACCGGAAAGGGATTACTGCCACTTGGTATTTCTGCCCGCCAAATGGGGCTGCATCCATCTGGTTGGTGAATTACTTGAGCCCTTGCCCCCGCGGTTGGCAGTCAGTTGGTATCCTCCTACCATCGGTCCAACCTTCTCACACGAGCTTGTTATGCACGGAATAAAACACAGACATGGCGTTATGCTAGGTAGAATAAAAAAATTGGGGACACTACGATGTTGGTGTAACATTCCAATATCCAGAGTTACGTTGTATTAAACCATCCCAACTCGCTTCAGTCGGTAACGGAGGACCTGGCTCATACACCCAAGAATCCTTCAACAATCCTTCAGCAATAACCGAACAAGTCCACATTATGCGCGTGGTCGTCTTCGGCGCAACAGGCGGACAGGGCATCGCCCAAATTTCAGCCCTCAGAGCGGCAAACCACCATCCCATCGCTGTGAGCCGGCAACCCCGCACCACCTCCCCGCCTGTCGAGACCCGCGTCGCAGAGCTCACCGATCGGCCCGCCGTCCGTGCTGCTCTGTCCGGAGCAGAAGCAGTCTTACTGAACTTGCCTTCCTTCCAGCCAGCAAATTTCCTTTATGCTGCTGCAAAGGCCATTGGCGCTGAGGCCGCTGCGCAGTCGACTCTGAAGCTCATCGTGTTCAACACGAGCTTTCCCGTCCCCGAGAAGAATGTCGGCATTGAGGCCCAGGAGCATCGTCGGGAGACACGCCGAATTTTGCGGGAGGCGCTCCAAGGAAGCGGCGTAGCACTCGTTTCGATACAACCCGGCGTTTTCCTTGATAACCTACTCGAAGGCTGGGCCTTGCCACGCTTGAGAGACGAAGTACGGATAGTCTATTGCCACAAACCAGACCTCGAGGTGTCGTGGATTTCTCTCGATAATTTGGCGCTCTTGATGGTCGCAGCCTTGGCACGGGATCCGGCGGATCTCGACGGACGGAATATAGTCGTAGGCGGACCGGAAACGGTGAAACTGTCTCAACTTGCCGAGAAGCTGGGCCGTGCGTGGGGCCGGGAGGTTGGGTACGAGAACCAGACTGTTGATCAGTTTTCCGAGGAGATGGCTGCAGCATTGAAGTCCCAAATGCAATCCGGTAAAGACTTGGAAGTCGTCGTAGATGAGACGAGAAGGGCTTATACGTGGTACAACGATGCCGAGGAGAAGCCCTTCAAAGTGGATATGACGCCCGTGTTGGAGGAACTGAAAGTCAGCTTGACGGGAATTGAGGACTGGGGGAGACTCAAGGGCTGTCCCATACAGACCAAATCAGATCCTGGACCTGTTTACTGTCGTTAGTACCAATGAGAAAGTGTTTTGGCGAGTCCAGAAGCCAACCTAGCATCTTTATAAACAAATCGCTCATTCTCTAAGCGCCGGATCTATGGCTGAAGTATCTAAGAAAGAGACTTGATTTACTTACTCCGTACACTAAGTACGCTATCCAAGCTGGTAAAGCCAAGGCGAAAATTACCCAAGGCCTCGTCCCATTGGCCTCAAGCTGCCCCCATAAAGTTTCTCTCTTTAAGGTACTAAGTAACTCATCAGATGCTCCTCCCGCTGAAGTCCCTGTCAATGTCGATTTGTCGATATAGGATAGCGGGCAAAAAAGGGCACAATACGGACACTCACATCCAGCTTAACCACCTTGCTGAACTGCATAAGTAGCTTCCACCAGGTAGGTACCTACCCGTCACCATTGCGTCCTCGGCCTCTGCGCACTCGCCATCATGCTCATATCGATTTCCCAAACTTTATCTTTCTAGCCACACCTCAAGACTGCCGGGATAGACGTTGCCGGGCAAACCAATGCAATCCGGATGCTACTTCCTGCTCTCATCTAGCCAAAACTCAATGCAGAGGAGTTGAGCCTGCTGGCCCGCAATCAAAGCATTAAATTTCACACCTTTGCATGACTTTATGAGCTTCACATGTATTTCCGGGGGACATGTAATTCCCTAGGGCTTTGTATCAAATTATGAGCTCTTATTTCCGATTGTTCGTCTTCTTGTCAGGAGCGTGGCCATAGATTGTTATGACCTTCGACGTTCGACGGTGTTGAAGCATCTCTTTGGAAATCAAAGCTCTTTTCTCAAATGTTAGTTTGAAATCTCTTTGAATCTCTCAAAGGCATTAATGGCACTCTCGACTTGAGCCTCCATGTCCACTCCGTTGATGTATGTTCTACCTTTCCTTATCTTAGTCATCATGCCATCCAGGACAATCTCATTGGGATCGCGACTGTAAATTCGCCCGAAGCTTCTCATAATTTCTACAATCTTTTGACTCCGTGGAACGTGCAATTGGTCATAGGCTTTGAAAGCGGCTCCAAGCTCATTCAAGGATGTCAAGCATAAGAACATACCAGTGAGCACTGAGCAATCCTCAATGGCTTATGCAGCGCCGTTGCCAGAGTGAGGAAGTGTTCCGTGGGCGGCATCACCGACCATGGCTATCCACCCTCTATAGTAGAAGGGAGCATCGTCATGGCCTTGAAGAGTCCAATTATCTGTGTGGCCTTGTTCTAGAAACTAAAACATGGCTGTTTAGGCGACACTGATGCCATGGGAAACGGAGGCAATGCAACTTCCAGATATCAAGGCATCGACTCCCGGAAGTAGAATCTTCTAGAATTGGGAGTTTAACGGAGCGCCATGTTCCGGGCATTTGGTGTCCCTTTGATAGCAGTCCGCGCTGTACGTTTGGCCAAGGCCAAGCGGGATTGCGTTGATGAACCCGTAAGGTGTGCCATACGTACATAATGACTGTGTTGACTGACTCTATAGGGACGATGGTGTGGAACTGACGCCATTGGTCGTGGTTGACCGGAGAGGCGCTCGGATGATCAGGCCCGAGGACAAACTTGCAAGTCGGGCTGTTGATACCTTCCGCGCCGAAAACAATGTCAAAGATATCTTGAGTGCCATCTTCGAATGAAACAGTGGCTTCCGTGTGATGGGATCTTCCTCCATTTCACTGGTCCGCTTGTTGAAGTGAACGCGATGATGCGGAACCACACCTTCTTCAAGCAGTTCTTGTATGAAGTGCGCGCGATGAACGGTCCGTCTGCCCTTGGCCCTCCCTAGCTCAGCAAAGACAACTACAGCATGTTCACCGCTAGACAATTTAAACTGCGTTGCCATCTCAGCGTGTTCATCGTTGGCCATGAAGTGTGATTTATTGAAGTATGCCTGCTTGATCTTGGGCGAGATCAGGTCCATGGCTATGATGGCGTTGCCGTGTGGCGCAAGACCAGACTCGTGGACTCGAATGTTTGCATATTCTTTTCGAACAGCTGAACGTCTAAGAATGGGGTTTGAAGGAGACCAAAAGCTAGACAGCAGCCGGCGATCCCAGCGCCTAAGATGCCTACACGAATGCGGCTTGTCTCAAAGTTCTCCCACATGATAGTTGAGTATCAAGTTTCGTTCTAGTAATTTGGTGTTGAGTGTGATCTGAATCTGTCAAGTGCGGCGCTCGCTAAACTCAGAGTTCAGATTCTCTGTATGAAAGAGGGAACTCAGGGGTCATGCCAAAAACACCCACTTGGGTGTTTGCTTGACCCTAGAGGGATAAAGGCCCGTCTTGTTGGTTGGTAAATGTAACGGATCATGCCAATTTGCTCTACATACCCCCTGTCTCTGGAATACAATCATTCATGGACTTTTGGCGTAATGGTATAGAGCCTTTGCACTATCGTTCGTATCGACTGACAGAATTGGGCGACTTTGCAACAAAGACTGGCGTAGCTGGGTTGAATAGCTTTCGCGTATAGACAGTCCCGAGAATCAAGTCTCGTAACTTAACCACAATTTTCTGTAATCTGCTCCAAGCATCTCTAAAGAGGATTTTACAAATCTAGCTCTTCGCTGTTTGTTGCACTAAAATCGACTTGCCTTTAACCAAGATCATGGATAGCGCTGTTTCACAGGTACCTAAGGTCAGAGAAGAGAGGCATTGGCTGTTTGACTTGACTCCAAACAGAATTCAACTCTTTCCATTACTCGAACGATCTGCAAGAAGTTTAATAGGTTAGGATCTGTTTTCCTGCGTCCTTTTCCAAACATTTCAATGTATTCCGAGATACACACAGGCACCTTTTGGAAGGTAGAAGAACCATTGGGTTTTCTGCCCTATGGCGTTAAACATCCAATATGATTATTCAAGCTGTGACTTTGATGAAATGCCATGCTGTTTGCATCGCGTCGCTTGCACAGGAGGCTTGCAGACAGCGGGGGACAGACAAAATCAATAGACTAGCAGGAGGCCATCATTCACCCATCAAAGCAGGCAGGTGTGTGTATGATATGTCATTATGTGCTTATCGGGCAAATCATGCTTTCAGACTAAGTAAACGTCAGTCTGACTATCTGCTATGAGATTTTACTTGTAGAGGCTTTGACTTCAAGTTTTGGACTTTGCTTTGACTGCCTCAGAGAGAAAAGATTTACACGCATCGACCAAGAGGACGTTAAAGTCTGGAAAGCTAATACTTAGAAAAGGCCCTAGCGTCCGCACTCCGGTGGAGATCACCAATCTTTAATTGCTAGTGACTTTGTCGGGACATCTCAAGCACCCGACAATCTGACAAATCCACAAATCCACAAATCAGAACTCTACCCAAACTCGGCTCAATCCAGTGCCGATGGGATGGGGAAGATGTTTTAGTCGAGTGGCGGGGTGTAGTGTTCATCCGGTTGAAACAACGCAACGTATTCAAAACCGGTTGGCAATGCAAAGGGTGGGGGCCCGGGAAGATTTATTCGAGTTTAGTATCACAGTTCTGCATCATTTGGGTTGAAAGAAAACATAGTCTATCCGTTATTTCGGGTTTCATTGCCGCTGAAGGTACAGTTTTTCGAAGATGTCAAAACTGATAGTGGTGTGTGGCGTGACCGGCAACCAGGTGGGCAACTCACAATGTTCTACTATTTCTGCAAGTGAATTCTGACCATCCTACGATTGTAAAGGGACGTTCTGTCGCAGAAAAATTTCTTCAGGAACCTGGATGGAGGGTGCGCGGAATTACTCGAGATGCAACCAAGCCAGCTAGCTTGGCGCTGGCTGCTAAGGGCGTCGAAATCGCTGAAGGCGACTTGGACAAAATCGATTCTCTGAGAGCTGCCCTTCAAGGTGCAAATGTTGTGTTCGGAAACACTGTGTTTCCCTTTGTTCTGGCACTGACCTCAAATCCGCGACTAAAACCAGGACAGTCTCTCCTTGAATGGGCTTATGAACTCGAGGTTCAGCAAGGAAAGAACTTGGTGCAGGCCGTCGCCGAGCTGGACTCACTTCAGCTATTCATATGGTCGACACTATCAGCAACTCGAAAATGGTCAGGGGGGAAATTCCGGAACGTCTTCCATTTTGACTCGAAGGCCGCCGTGGTCGATTATGTCCGGGATTGTTTTCCTGATTTATACAACAAGACGTCCTTGCTTCAGCTAGGGCTCTTCATGACGAATTGGAGATTTGGTCCCGTCAACATCCCATGGGCGAAGGTGGGTGCGTTCTAGCATCTTGTCCTCCTTAGCTGACAACAAACGACCTGATTCTAGCGGGGAGATGGCACCATGGTCCTACGTATGCCAGGAGAGCTCAGGTATCCGATTCCACATGTTCTCGTTGAAGAAACAGGGAAATATGTCAAGGCCCTAGCTCAGAGTTCTCCAGGCACACACTTGCTAGCTTGCTCCGAGTTCCTGACTTGGCCAGACTATGTGAGCTTGTGGAGTAAGACGACTGGGGTTCCGGCAGTATTTGAATCCATTACTATGGATGAAATGGATAAGCTTGCCCCAGGAGGCTTTGGTCTTGAAATTGGGGAGATGCATGCATACGCTTTGGAGTTTGGCTACTGGGGCAATGACCCAGCGGTTATTTATCCGGAGCAAGTAGGTGCAAGCTGCTCAAGACTTCCACAAAACAAGGCTAACGATTTGCACTCTTTAGCTTGGCATTAAGGGAGACCTGACTACAATTGGTGATTACATCAAGGGGGAGGACTGGTCTGAGTTGCTGGGTCGGCCTGCAATCAATTGACGTATCTCGGCTTCAAGGCTAGTTGTGTTTAAAGAACCAAAGTTGCATGTTGATATAAGCATTTTTACATGATTTCATCATTGGAACGAATAAGTGATTAGGGCTAGATGACGTACTGCATGAAATTGTTGCAGCAAATCGTGGTTCATAAAACACGGGTTCATACTGAGGTTATTGGTCAGGTACGTTAAGGTTGCATTCTATGAAAAGACGAAAGGCTCAAGCCCTCTGTACGAACTGGATTTATGATTTTAAAACTGCCTTAGCTACAAGGTAAGGACTTGGAGTACGAGGATTCTGTGATTACAAGGCCCTGCTCAGTGAAGGATCGCTGAAAGTTGTGTTGCATGCTGACATCGGTTTGATTGATTAATTATCGTCTGACTCTGTTGTGGAAGTCCACTTTAAACGAGTTTGAATGTTTTGAAGTTTCTTACGTAGACTATCTCTGAAGTTGATTCAGAATTAAGTGTGAAAAATGTAAAAGTTGGGAAGAGATTCTGCACCAGATTCAATGTTGATGGACAAATCGGCAGAGTGAATGAGACTATCAATTGTAGATACTGTCTTTTCTTTAACAGAATTATATCGACTCAGCAAGGCCATAGTCATTAGGCTACTTAGTCAAGCATCAGTTGAGAGATACAAACTCGAAGTTGATGATTCCAATTTTTCAAAATATAATAGACCGAGGTGATTTGGAATAAAATTCTCCGAAACAGGCAAAAAACTGAAACGACGCGGTCTGCGAAGCAACGGTAAGCTTTCTCGAACCACAATCACAGATTGAGTACTGCCTGAACAGTCTCATCAATGCTCTCAGTCTTCAAACCTAGGCGATCATTCCAAATACCACCCTTGACGTGTGTATGATCTTCAAGCCCGCCTTCACCGAGCACCAATGCCATGATCACAGCGGCCCCGCCTTCCAAGATCTCCCCCTTTCCAAGCTTCATAAATCCATCCTCCCTGATTACTTGCGAACTGACCTCAACTCGATTCCAATTCTCCCCGGTCAACTTCTCAAGAGAGGCCAAGACTTCGAGTTGAGTCGTTGTAAACGACTCCGTGAAAACAAGCTGATTCTTGGTCTCGTCGGGATGATTGAGAACTGCAACGATGGCCCGACCAATTTGTGCCGTGTTACTTGTTGTGAAGCGAGTCTTACCGCCATCGACTAGAGTCGCAGTCTTGGTAACAAAGTCGAAGCCTGTCATTCCAAGCTTCAAGCCCTGTAGCAGTTCGAGAAGGTCAGCAATCATACACCATGGCGACTTGCTGAGAACAGTACATGCAATCAAGAGAACTTACCCAATCAAAGAAAGGCCCAGTAATGACGGCAGTCCAGCTGATCAAATCCTCCTTGTCTGCGAGCCAGCCAAGATGGGACTTTTTTGGCTGAAAAAACGGGACAGCTGCAATAACCTCGTCAGACTGGTATTGATGTTAGTCAGAGAATGTGCATCTGTTGCTGCCTCGTCTATACAGGAGAAGCCCTTACCGCAGAGTCGGATCCATATTCGCTGGGAATAAATCTCTTGACGCCTGCCTTAATGGCGGCCTCAGCAATCTTTTGCTGCTCTCCGAGAGCCATGATCGGGAGCATGCTGACAACCGCATCTTGACCTGCAAGAATCTTCACTAGGGAATCTTCACTGTAGTCGGTTTTGATAACATTGGCTCCCGGGGGGAAGATTGCAGAAGATCCCTCCCGGCTGAGAATGGTCAAATCGAGGTCAGACTTGAGCAACTCGGGCAAAACGGCTGTGCCAACGTTGCCACTGGCCTGCACCCATCACAATCATGAGTAAACTCGGCCTACAAGCAGAATCTTTGAAGGAACTTACACCAACGAGAGTGACTTTCTTCAAAGACATTGCGTAGGTTCAAAGTTTGCTAGAGGTATGAAGGCTGCGGCGAATACCTATGTCGAAGAAGAAGATGATGATCTAGATATCTAAAATCCCGAGGAGCTGCGGGATCGGAGCCAATGTATTTATCTGTCTCAGCCGGACTATTGGGAATGAACAGCTCGACTCATACAAAAGCTTTCACGGAGCTTTGAGACACATAGCAAAGCATCAAACACATGCAGAGTAAGCATCAATGGAGTCTTCAATACTAATTTTGACAAATCCACTCTCCTATCATACCTAATCCCCAAAACTTCAGCCACAGTCTGGAAAGGTGCAATTCCACGAAGTATGATGAACGAAAACGAGAATGCTTGCGACTGTCCAGAGTCGGTTCATCTAGTGTCCGCCGGTATGCTGATAACGGATTAGGCGGGACGTAGATGGTGAGACAGCCACCTGAACGGGCTGATTAGTGAACAGCTAGTCTTTGAATACTAGCCTCGTCTCCCGAATCGGCGAATCAATTGTTCCAGAGCCTCCTTTCTAGAAATGTGACAGCCCCAACGGAAAGATTACACTATACAAATGTCGGAGTCTGATAACAGTCTAAGCCTCTGAATATAAGCGTCCAAGGAACGGTGTTCAATTTGTCCGAGAGCATTCCACAAATCGCAGTTTGATGTCACGAAGAAACTAACAGAATGTAGATGGACCTTACAAAGCAAGATTTCTTTGTTTGGAAGCCCTGCCTGTGGTGCTTATTTCCTGAAATATTTAAAAACCCTGTGGCTCTTGGTTACCGTATAATTTACCAAGTCAACTTTGTCTTCTTTCCGAGGGCTCTTTCCCCTCACACCTCGATCTCAAGCGCTTCCCGATCATTGGATATTTCGAGTCAAACACCAGAGACCAACAAGGCCCAATTCTCATACACTACCTCCAGTGCCCCTGAAACTTACTCGTCTCCTCAAAATGAAGGCTTTGGTATCAAACCGCAGCACTCCCGCGCGAATTTTCAATCTCACCTCAGGAAAGTCCATTTTCAAGGGGGCCCATGTGATCGACGTACCCAAACCGGTGATCACCGGCCAGGAGATTCTGGTCAAGGTGAACTCTGTGGCTCTAAACCCGAGCGACTACAAGCACATTGACGTCATCTCACCTAAGAACTGCATTGTGGGCTGCGACTACGCAGGAGAGGTGATTGAAGTTGGCAAGTCCGTGGTAGAGTCATGGAAGGTGGGAGATCGTGTAGCGGGTGTTGTCCACGGCGGCCTGCATCACGACAGGGGTGCTTTCGCAGAATTCCTCAAGGCTGAGGCAGACCTGGCGTGGAAGGTTCCTCCCGGTATTTCAGATGAGGCTGCAGCAACCTACGGTGTCTCGGCCGTCACCGCCATACTGGCTATGAATGTCCACCTTGGGCTTCCGTGGCCCGATGAGCCTAAGAATTCCGAAGCATCAACACGACGACGAACCGTCTTCATCTACGCAGGCTCCACTAGTGTCGGTCTCTTTGCCATCCAGCTCGCCAAGTTAGCTGGTTGCACCGTGGTCACAACAGCGTCTCCACACTCCAATGATCTTGTCAAGAGCTATGGGGCCGACCACGTCTTTGACTACAGATCGGAGAATTGGGTACAGGATGTTACAACAGCCTTTCCAGATATTAGTCTGGCCCTGGACTGTATCTCAGAAAAGGGCACTGGTGCTCTGACAGCTAAAGTACTTCAAGCCAAGGGTGGCAAGGTCGTCACGCTGCTTGATCAAGGAGAGTCAAAGATTGCCGGTGTTAAGTACGATATGATCATGCTCTACACCGTATTTGGCAAAGAGTTTGCCTGGTTGCCCCCAATTGGACCAAAATTCCCAGTGGATTTGGAACATCGACAGGCGCTCGCGCGGTTCTACTCGATACTTCCAGGGCTTCTTGAGATTCTACGACCTCCTCCTCTCAAACAGATCAATGGCGGTATTGATGTCTTGCTTGAGGAATTGGACCAATTGCGCAAGGGGAAGGTATCTGGAAAGAAGTTGGTCGTCAAGCTTTAGTGGGATGATAATTTAATTAGATGTTTAAATAGCAACTACCAAGTGCGTGATAATTGAAACAGTCCATGTCTGAATGTAGTGATTGGGTTACCAAAGAAGGGATGTGTTAATTGGTACACTATTTCACCCGTTTAAAACTGATCACCGTTTACACCAGTCTCGATTTCTTGCCGATACCTCGAAGCTTTATATCGTTGCTATTCACTTAGGTTATACCCAGCCTTGCAAAGTCCTCGCAAAGGCATTGGGTGAATCGTGTTCCCCCAGTCCCTAGGATTGAAACACGAAACTTTCATCGAGAGCAATAATCGATCACCATAAAGTCCTCCCCAGACGACTTCCCTGCTTTTTTAGAGGTGGAGCGACAACAAGCCTGACTGTTTGAGCTCGTTTCCCAGCCTCATCATCTCCTTCCCATTCCATTGTCTCGGGATCATAGCTCGTCGGTGTCGCGCAAGTTATCCAAACCACTCATGCAACTTGTCTACAAACTTCTTTATCAAGAGCTAGGGCCTAGTGCAAGATCCTTTCAAACTCTAGATCCAGCCCATCATCGTCAACGTCGACCAGGGAAGCAACTGCGGCTACTATCCAGGATGCTGTATTTTTCACTATCCTTCCAATGAACCCGTCCAATTCGGTTTCTTGTTTCGCATCGATCGTTTTTTCTTGGATTTCAGTTGAGAATTCCGTGTTGTTGCATCAGGGGCAACAAACTCCAAGTACTCAAAGAGCTTCAAAACTCCGAGTTCGCGTGTTGAGTCCCGTGTTCCTATCTTACCCTCAAAATATTGGATGGCAAGGTTCCGAACGTTGTTTTGCACCCTGGTAACCAAGTCCCGAAGATGCCGATCGGTCACTTGATGAGGTCCCCTGTTTGTGACGTCTTGAGTCTACTGAGCTCCCTAGCTGTCTGCTTTGAGCGCTTGCGCATCTCAGCAAGATCGGCATATTTCTGCTCCAGCTCTGCTGCCAGAGACCCTAGTGTGTCTCCATTTCATTTTATACATTGTCCATTCTTTCTTGTTCCCGTATTTTCGTACATTTCGTTTGATGTCCTGTGCGATCCGCTCTAGCAGGGTCAAGGTAAACGGAGGATTCAGTCTGAAGAACAGATTCAGTATCAATGGTGGACTGTGAGAAGATGCATGATTGGTGAGCGAAATCTTTCCACTTGATGGTCAAAGGTTCTTTCGTCGTTTCATCGCAACATAAAAGTAGGAGACGTACTTATTATCTACTATTATTGATGATTTTCGACTCCCACACTTCAGCGAAGGAATTCTGGCTGTCACTGCATCGAAGGAATCCTGGTACTTCAATCTTTCATGGCGGGGAAGCTCGCTCCTGAAAGTCAATCGCTCACCCTCCTGCGGCCATGTCCGGCGACCTTGCGGTCGGCCAGGTGAACTGTTAGCAGCCGAGTCCTTTTCTGCCATGATTGGAAGGCTGGAAGGAGATGCATATGTCTCCACTAAATTATTTACGAACTCGGGAATGTAAAAAAAGCAGGAGAGTCGGCATGGCCTTGTCCATGTAGCTTTAAGAGGGGTATTAGCTGGTGGTTGATGAGCCACGGCAAAGTTAGCCAATGGATTATGAGGGAGTTTTCTCCCATGGCTCATCAAAATAAGCTAGCTTTATTTCCTGGAATCATTAACAGCGAATTATCTTTCAGCGCAGGTATCATCGAGCAAGATTGTCCTAATATATATTTGGGCGACGGGCGTACTGCTCGATTACCTCTACGGTGTTACTCACCGCGCGGAATTCGATCGGAAGGAGCACCTTAAAGAAGATAAAGAGCTTTATATCTACCCGGGGGCTTGGAGGGCTAAGAATAAAATGCATTCGTGCTTGAGAAGAGTACGTTTATCCCCATGTATCATCCTGTCGGAACACCAAGGCTAATTGCTTAAACTTGTTCTTGGGATGAGAACGTTTGCTAAAAGAACCCAGTACGATTCTCGTGCCTACTACGAGATTTACAGGGAAGATATAAGTAGGTTTTCCGTTGGAATCTGCGAACGCGATGCGACGGAAGTGCCAGATCGGGGCACATTCCAGGTCAACTTTTGCTACGTTGATTGTAAGCTCACCGTTCAGTTTTGGAAGCTGCCTGGCATCACAACCATTGATGGAACAACGGCTAAGAAGATGACTTGCGAGTTAGAAGTGATCCCATCGGAGGCATCTATGGAGTTTGCCGTCTACATTGATGGTAGAAACAAGGTAGCCACAATGTCCGGGTCAGGTTCAAGTGACAACTATCCTTTCCATGATGGCATTCCATCTGCTTAGATAGATAGACATTTCTCAATTCCGGGAGCTTCTCATATAAGGTCGATTGCATAAGGCACGCAAAAAATCATCATTAAAAGCTCATTTACCTCGTTATCATGCAAAAAGTTACCCACGAAACGACCCAGACGCCAGACCAACCACCTAATTACAACTTCGACTTAAAAACAACCCTCTTTGGTGATGAAGTAGCCGTCATTTCAGTCACTTGCGCCTTGCGCAATGGTTCCGCCATCACGGTTGCCTCAATTCTCCTTCCAAAATACTCAATCTCCACAACATCGCCCTCTTTCACACTATTGGGTAGATATGTATAGGCAATAGGTTTCCCGATGGTGTAGCCAAAGGCAGCATTCGTGATATAACCGACGGCTTTGCCATTGAGGAACACGGGCTCTTTTCCGAGAACAACGGAGCTCCCGTCGTTGATTGTAAGACAGCGGAGTCGCTTGGTGATATTGGTGTTGGCGAGGCGTTTGATGGCGGCATGACCGACGTAGCCTTCTTTGCTGGAATCAACGGCAAAGTCAAGACCGGCCTCAAAGGGGTTGTTCTCGGTAGTGACATCGGTGCCGTACGTCCTGAATCCCGTCTCCAGGCGCAGGGCACCGAAAGCGCTGCGACCTGCGGCGATAACTCCATGCGGCTGACCCGCCTTCCAGAGAGTATCCCACAGACGCAGACCATTCTCTGCGCTGGTGTAAATTTCCCAGCCAGTTTCACCAACAAACGACAGGCTCACGACTGTGACTGGGAGACCAGCGATGATTGCAGTCTTGACTTGCGATTGAGGCATGTCTTTGAGGTTGTCCGAGCTGATACCAGCGACAATGTCGGCGGCCCGGGGTCCCCACAGACCAATGCCACTGGTACCTCCGGTGGTCTCACGGACCTGGACAAACTGTGCCGGCGATGCCTTGACCTGGATACGAGCCTCCCGTTCCAAGTACGCGAGATCGGTGGGGCCGTTGACGGCAAGCTGGAATAAGTCGTCGCGAAGTCTGGCTACGAAGATGTCGCTGAGTACACCGCCGTCATTGTCAAGAAGAAGTGTAAATGTGACATTGCCCGGCTTCGTGTCGACATTGCTCGTGGTCAGCCGCTGGAGAAGCTTGGCTGATCCGGGTCCAGAAACTTCTAACCGGCGGATCGGCGTGAGGTCGTACATTGCCGCTGCCGTCCGCGTCTTCCAGGCTTCCGCGGCAGCAATGTCGGAGTAGTACCTCGCCGACCAAGGATCGCGCTTCTTAGGCTTCCAGTTCTCAGGCAACTGGCTAACAAGTCCCGCGTTCGCCTCAAACCACTGCGGGCGCTCCCATCCTCCCGTCTCAAGGAAGTAAGCACCAAGGTCCTTTTGGCGGGAGTGGAACGGGCTAACGCGGAGGTTGCGCGGTGATTCCCGCGGCTGAAGAGGATGCAAGATGTCGTAGACCTCGACAAAGTTCTGTGTAGAGACCTCCTTGACATACTCAGGCGCGAGTTGAATCTGTTCAAAGCGTGATATGTCGCACTCCCCCAGATCAACCTCGGACTTCCCGGTGGTGAGAAGCTGGGCTACCGCGCGAGCGACGCCGGCGGAATGTGTCACCCAGACAGCTTCTGCAACGAAGAATCCTTCCAGATTTGGTGCTCTGCCGACGAGAGGACCACCGTCCGGGGTGAAAGACATGATGCCGTTGAAGCCGTACTCAATCTCGCTCTCGGCAAGGGCAGGGAGGAGCTTCTTGGTGAGTTCCCATGCCGGCTTGAAATCATCGGGGGTAAAGTCTAGGCGCGACGGCATGTTATGCTCATCGACATGCTCAGGTGTCTCACCGAGCTGGGCAGCGACCACTGGAAGGGGACGGTGACCGTAAAAACCAATTCCATACTGTTCACCATGTTCGCGGTAGTAAAGATCGCGATCTTGGTGGCGGAGGATGGGCAGTTGAGCGCCGTTCACCTCAAGCTTCTTGCCCTTCTGCGCTGGCACGGGGGTCGTCTTTGCGTACTGATGGCCGACAGGCAGCAGTGGAATCGGCAAGCCGATCATGGCACCGATCTCGACACCCCACAATCCAGCACATGCGAGGACGAGGTCCGCGGGAATAGTGCCGTTCTTCGTCTCGACGCCCGTGACTCGGCCCTGGCTTTGCGCGATGCCCGTGACCGGGGTGTGCTCAAGATAACGGACACCGGCTTTCCGGGTGCGCTCGATAAGCACTTGAACTGCGCGAGCGGCCAATGCCAGGCCATCGGTCGGGATGTGCAGGCCGCCAAGGACCACGTCTGTGCTGATAAGGGGGTAGATCTTCTTGACCTCGTCGGCGGTGAGCAGATGCGCCTCGATACCCCAAGAGGAGGCATAACCATGTTTCCTCTTGAGCTCCTCGAGCCTGTCTGGTGTTTCTGCCACCTCGAGGCCGCCAACCTGATTGAAGCATTCTATTGAGAGCAGCTTTTGTACCGTGTATTTTGCAAAGGAGCTCATGGTCTTAGAACCAGTGGTCTGAAATACGAGACCGGGGGCGTGTGATGTTGAGCCACCCGGCATGGCCAGCGGCCCCTGTTCAACCACGGTGATGTTGGTCCACCCCCGCGAGACCAGCTCATCAGCGATGTTAGTACCGACTATGCCGGCCCCAATGATGACGACGCGCTGTGAAGGATCCATGATGTGTGTGTGCGTAATGCGAGAGAGTCCTTCTTGTCTGGTGACAGTGGAAAAGGGATGTAAGAATAATGATGTACCGGGTAAGAAAGAACCCTTCTGGCGAGAACCCTCAGCATGATGGCATCGTGTAAAGTTGCAAGACGGTTTATAAGTCACCCATGCCGTCTGCAATACCCCGATTCAGTTTAGCACCATCGCCGGTGTGGAGAACCTGGAGAACAGACATGGAGCTTGCTATAGATAGCAGCAACGTAGATGTGGCCCGGGGAGTCCAACTTCGCGGTCACCTGATCGGTTTCTTGAAGCCGATGCCGTCCGTGTTGACCGATGCGCGTGGCCCCAAAGGAGCCCAAACACACACACTCACACCTCTATGATATTGATCCATCAACACCACGTTCGCAAAGGCTTATCGCCACATAGACTCACTTGCGCTTGATTCGGTCATGATATGGTCATTTTGCAACCAACGGTAGATAGCGGGCGCAACCAGCTTGCACACCTACCATTGTTTTGCAATAACAACCCCCCAGGGTTGGACGAGCGAGGCCGGCTCATACCAGCCGGCGAGAGGGGTGCTTCGTGCGCTCTGCTCCGAACTCGGCCTCTGGGTCGGTGCCATCTCCCCCCTGCCACCATAACCTTCGGGCGTTTGGTCTTATCAGGGTCATCATGATCGTGATCTGTCTGATGCTCTTGATGGATCATCGCAAGAGAGATAACGTTTCGAAAGTTGAAAGGAAGATGAGTCTCACATTCCATCCACTGTTGGGCATCAACCGGTTTCCGGCCACGCCGCGTCGTTGGACATCAACATCCTCCTGCATCTCCTCCCACCATCACATGATGTGACTGAGGACTGTTTGCACTATTCACTTCACCGTAGTCGTTGGGCAATAGGTGTGATCCAACGTGCAGTCGAGAAACCCGACGCCTAAACCATTCCGTCTCGGTCAGGGTTCTATGTGCTTGCAGTATGGTAAGTTGCGATAACCACAACCTCTCCAGACAGGGTCCTGTTCATCCAATTCCCGACTATCGCAATACCAGAGTCTACTATGCAATTGTCGGTGAGAGTCTGGCCAAATGGCCGCTGGAGATTCGTCTGAAAGGTCGACGATCACACGCAAGCGGATTACCATGACAGGAGTCGATCCGTCGGTGTGCTGGTTTCGACCGAGTCGGGATATTGTCGAAACGAGCCAAAACACAATGGCAAGCCTTCATGGGGTCCCATCACCCCGTGACGAGGAAAAATGTAAACCTTCCATGTCGTCGTCGTGAACACAATTACCTTGTCATATTCATGTGGTTATCAGCAACATCCGACTCGCTTTGAAAGGCTCAACCCTGTCGTTGGCCCGCCGCACTTGGCGTCACGGATCGTGCGCTGGCAAGGGAGTCGGCGGGAGTGGGATGTTTGGCGCACCAAAGCTGACGCTTCGGAGTGTCTTGCCCGCTTGAGTCATGCTGTCGCAGCTCTCGTGCGATTTGGAGATAACAAATGAGCAGAGCAACACGTCTTGAGTGCGCCCAGTGATCGTCAAGAGCGGGTCGCTTGAACTCACAGGAAAAGAATTATTAATTTCCTTGTCGCGCCCTTCACAGCCCGAGGTCGCGGGGATGGGCAAGTGCTTTGCGCCGGGTTCAATCACAGCGGCCATGGAGCAATACTGTGGAAGAGGTGGACGACACAGACGGTTTCCGGCTTCCACAAGACAGGGAGTAACAGAGAAACACCCGAAACAGTGCGTTTGGGATACCGCCATCTCAGAAACGGTAAGGCCGCGACTGCTACGGTGCGTCAAGAATGGGTTGGCTCGGGACCCTGATTCTTGGCATGCGTGGTAGAGGGGAAGCTGGATGTCCAAGGAAGGGGGGAAGACTAGCCGTTGGGAGCAGACGAACACCTCTCTGAATCCCTTTTCTCTCCTTGCCTAATGATAAGTCAGATGGACGGCGAACTTGTGCAACCCAGCCACGTTAAATGAGCGAGTATGTGTGTCCTGTCCTTTCGAACTGAACTCGTAAGGGTTGGCATGGTTGGGGCTAAGGAGACTGGCCCATCGAGCAGTCTAGAACGATCTTGGTCGGACAAGACATGACCTATCACTCTGAAGCCTTTTCTAACCGCTCTGCAACCCCAGCGAGCCAGGCTACCCGGCTACCCCATCCGTGACACCCCCGATTTACCTTCATAAGAAGAACCGTCTAAAACGAGAGCTTGATCCCTGCCTCCCCCCCGCATGATCCACCGGATTTGGGGACTCACCAAGGAAGCGCCGTTCCATGTCTGTAAGCCGCCTCGTGTCGCATGTGCATGAGCTGCAGGTTTCTCCTCGGTGACTTATCCGGTTCATATTACCTAAGAATTATCCCATCGTGGCTTCTTGCTTGGCGTTTTGATACTCTCGTGCCACGGTGACAGACCCTGACGATAAACACCAGAAGCAGGTCAATGACTCGAGCATCGTGTGCCACGTTTTTGTACTGTGGCATTGGGTATCCAAACATGCCACCAAGGGCATCAAGACGAAGTCTTGGTCACAGCATGACAATACAACGCTGCTTATAGGGCTCTATCATGGCAGCTGAGTTTCGTAACAGATCGAACATATGAGCGACGACTTCACAAGAAGCCACAATCATGATATCAGCAAGGTGGTTGATACGTGTTTACCACAGGACAGCAACCGGCATCGTGTAGTGAAGGATTGTTTATCGCTAAAACTGATTAAACATGATATTGTTGAAGTTTTCTCCTTCCCACCATGCGTTCCCTGGTTCCGATTGCGGGTAACTCATATCCCCAATGCCCACGAGTTGCGAGGGGTCCGCGTATAACCATGGTGTGGTATTAAAGGTTAGGCTATCAATTTGCTCCACAGTCGGCGGATCAAACACCGCGGCCCGTGACGCCGACGAGGACGAGGACGATGTCGATGTCGAGTTTGCCTGATTAGAGGAAATATTGTGCGCCCTTTTATATGTCGACGTCGGCGCCTCTTGCCCGCCGTCTGCAATGTTGATCGTGATCTCCGGAGAGGTGGCGACGATGATTTCGAGTGTCGAGCTGTCGCTAGTATCAACGGGTGGTATAGCAGGTGTGAGTGATGCATCTAGGAGACCCGCGGTTGGGATCTCCTGAGAGTCGGTTGTAGAGTTGAACTGAAGAATCTCCCACATCAAGGGGACACTGAGATAGATTTTGGACGGCATCCAGTCTTCCACATCCATGTTCTCGGTTCCTGCAGCAATGCGGGTCATTCTGTCAAGATTACGGTCCTAGATGTCATGGTTAATCAAAAGGCTCTTCAACCACGACAGTTATCCCACTCACTAATGCGCCACAGGCTGCAGAACATGGAATGAAGCTCTTCAAGAATCTTCTGCACTTAGCAAAGTCCGTGTTGGACTTGTGCTTCAACCTCGCCGCCGCCGCGCAGCAATAGTAAAGGTGGACCGTCGCTGCGATAGCAGCGACATGCCCAAAGAAAGGGTCTACCAGCGATACCTGCTTGTCGACAACCATATCAATCATTCGGACGATCCAAGTAGCATGAAGCAGCGCTTGTTCTGATGACCTCCTCCAGAATGTATTGGGGATCCCGAGGTTCGGGTTATGTTGGGCTCCGACAATGTAGAGGAACGGATGATTCAGGACTGTAGGTATCGCGTGGTAAGTGAATTGCTCCTTCAGCCATGGCGCCCAGTAGTCCCGGTTCACCTTGAGTTCGTCGATTTTACGTTCGTAGAACTTGACAGAGTCGTATCGGTGGCACATGGGTATCCTATTCTCCGTCTCCATGAAGTCCGAGAGAACTTTGGCATAGGTAGAGTCATGCCGCCATGGTTCCTTGAGGATATTGCGTGAGCAATCTGAGACATACTTCCTGACCTGGCTCCAGACCCATCCCAGGCAGACACTCGTGTTCCAGATGCCAGTTTCGCCAGGGGAAGAGGTTCCAAGATCATCTCGGGGTAGCGGTGGCGCCTTGCAAGAGTCCTGCTCAGACAAATTCCCGCTTGACGGAAGAGTAGGCCGGCGCACGTCGTTGGGAAAACTCAACAGTCCATCTTGGCGGCCGTAGGACTGTTCTAGTAACTGAAGGCTCCAGAAAAGCCTTTTCTTTCGGTCCGTTGTTGAATTATCCACCGCATAAACAGTTTCCATGTCAAGCATAGCTGATCGACACAGCTGAAGTGAAAGGCCCAGGTGGAATTGACCCAGGTGCACATTGCCGTCTGTGAGATCAGTTTTCCATTTCAAATCATATCACGATGACGCTTTACGCAGGTGCTTACCTATGAAAGAGGCGTATGAAAGAAGACACAAACTCTCTATTGTCGTGATGTCCACGGTGCCGTTCGCGATTCGAAGCATGATGAGTGTCTTCGCGTTACTACTAAAGAGCTGCATGTGATCGCGTTGCTCAGAGAACCGCGATGTAAGCGCTAGAATACTGCTGGCGAGCTCCTCTGGCAAAGAGTCGTAGTCGCCAACTTCATCTCTCTCAAAACACCAAATCGGTTGTCGATGGCAGTATTTGAAGTAGAGATTGATGCCCCTCGCCATGTCATCGGGGTCAAAGACAACGGAGTTGCTGTTGTCGGTGGGATAGTCCCGTCGGTTCCTTCGAGATGGCGGCGTTGCCGAAAATGACTTTTCTGACGCATCGGTGACTTCTTCGAACGTTGCCTGCTGTTGTATTTGTGTTTGTCCTTGACGAGCGTGGTGGTTCGGTCTAAGAACCCGGTCAGATGGTCTGAACGAAGCATGTTCGCGTGCGGTGTCGTATTACAAGCCCCCTCCACTGAGGAGGAGATCCAGTTTCTCTTCCAAAGTTTGCAGTCTCTCATCCTATCAGTGGTAAGGCGTCTGATATCAGTGGGAGCAAGAGTTTTTATGGCATGCATACCGATCTTCCGCTTTGCGAAGGTCTCACCGCGGGGTAAGAGCATGACTGAGATAGCCGTACACAACTTGAGCATGCCGGCTT